TTTTCGGACGTTACATGTACGAGTACGTGATCCGTTTGAGGGTCACAGATTTAGCGTAAATATTTGGCCCCTCAACATCACATAATGTCTCTAGCTTACAGAGGTCTTAAAACGCTTCATTACATGGATTTGCCTTCTGCGGTTAGAAGGCTAAAAGCGAATTTCTCGGGCGTAATTGCCTTTGATTTCTCAATTGATGTTGTCGCAAACACAGTTTCCGGGAGTCACGAAACAAAAAAACTTACCAGGACCTAGTTTCATGTTCTAATGGAAATAAATAGCAAATAAAAACATGTTCTCTTGAGAAATAAGTTATAAATAACAGGGGTTCTTTGAAATAAATAGTAATAGATAAGGTTTCAGTTCTGCTCAGTATTGACTTTCCATAGCCTACTTCCAAATCTGAGGGAAAGCGCTGAGGGAATAAAAAAAACATACATACGTAATAATGCAAGGAAGAGAATAAAAAGCAAATAAAGAAAAAGGAGAAAACATAGGAACCCGTGTTGCAGCGTGCAGCCATCTTTTGAGCCAGACCTACACACCTAAGCCCGACAACACGCATAGAAACTCGAAAGAGTGCTGTATATGAACTGGCTCGCGCTTGCACGCAGGAAAGGCCATGACAATCAGCGAAAATAATAGTAAATGCAGATGATGTTTGCAGTCAAAAACCAAGCAAATAAGATAACAGAAGGATTAAGAACTTTTCAGAAGTGTCTTTTGAAAAAAAAAAGATAAAGAATTTTTACTTCTCATGAGGTCACGCAGTCACGCTACAAATACTATTTCTACGTGGAATTTCTTGATGGTGGAAAGTGGGAAATACATTTTCCAGTCTTATTTTCTGGAAACGTGGCGCATTTAATGAATTTAATGGGGCTATTGATATTTCCTATTAAATTGGGGGGGGGGGGGGGGGGGGGGGGGGGCAGAGTTTCCCGTCATCTGCGTTCGGGAAAAACCGAAGTTGTAACACACGGGAGCTTGTACGTCAACAAGCATGCAACATGTGACTTTAAAATCTCCTCTCCTGTTACAGTTTACTTATTGTGAACTGTGCGATAATGATAACAACCACATTATAGACTAATAAATGTTTTGTACTGTACGAGAGCCCTATTTCCTGATTTTAGCAAATCTTCAAACTAATAAGCGACAGAAGAAAGAAACGCTACGATTTTCCCATCGATTTTTCGCCTATTTGCATCTCTCTAAACGTGAAATTTTCCATTCCTACAAAAAGTCTCGAAAGGTTTTCACACTTTTTACCTTTCTTCATCAGTCATCGTGTATAAAGAGCTAAAAGATGTAGGTTTATATGGTCAAGTGACCGCCCAGAGCAAGAATTGCGTGACAGGTGTAGTTGAGAACAACTTGTCACAGGCGCAGATATTAAGGACATTCAAGACAAAAATACGGTAGCGCCCAAAGATTTTTTTGATGATTTTCAGAGGTGAAATGATGGGTTATAAAGGGGAATCAAGATCAGTGTTGTAGCGTTCTAGCAAGGGGAGATATTTGACCTCAAAGTTGCCAAATATTTGGATGAATCGAAAAGTCTAAAAACACAGTCGTTTATTTGCCTCTGTTGACTGACAAGCCGTCAATAAAATTGGCTAATACGTACAGCGGACATTAAACAAGGATGTAAAAATATATGTGCAAACCCTCAGAGTAATTGGTTGAATACCATCGCAGTAAGAGCTTCATACATTTTACCTATTTTGAAGCGATTTCCTTGGTGAAAACCAAGAAAAACCGGGGGGTGGTCTATCTCCCCCCGGAAAAAACCAAAACAGAAACCTGTTTGTCTTTTTGAGTTTTGGGGTAGACCCTTAAAACTGGCAAAGTTTCATTGAAATCGGTGAGATAGCATGTGGCACGAGTGCCTGGTGCTCTCGTGGACACGCTCTTAATTTCTCGCGCAATCCTCTCAAAAGTAACTGAGAGTAAAATTGATAAGGGACATGAGGGAAGCAAGGTGTTAATTGTGGGCACTTCGAAAATACCAAATAGAAGTAAAATACCCTTTCTCTTTAAGCTAAAGAAATACTATATCCTTTCTCAAATACCTCTTGGATTCTTTCAGAGAAAAAAAGGAAAGAAAACAAACCCTAAGCTTTTCTTCACGTACTCGTATTCTGTATTATGCCTTGAAGGTGGTTGTAATTCAGCTTGGAAATATTTGATGTGTGGCAACACAATTTTTTGATTTGCGGGAGAGGACCACACAGATAAATTTGGCTCAAATATGCAATGATAACTTTAAAAAAATGAAAACGTTTTTGTTGCCAACTTAAAATTTGACGATAACTTCATTCCAACAATTGCTTTTACGTGAATATTTCCCATTGAATGAAAGCGTGTCTTCAAACAAACAAACGAGCTAAGTTGGTGTAATTTCTGCCTTTCGAACTAAATTTGTTAAAGCTTTCCGGCGATAGTGTAAAACAAATTCAGTTCTTGTACTTAATTCATTACGGTATCTTGATCTGTAGTTTGTCGGAAACTTGACAAAACTTACTCTTAAAGTTTAACACTACTACTGAGGTGGCTTGTTGCAAAGGCAGTCCAATTATCAGTGTCCATTTCAGACAAATAGCTTGCTTCCTCTACATTTCGTTTTAGGTCAAATTCGTTAAAAAACCAGAAATTCACTGGACTCTGCCTCTGCTCCCTGATAAAGTCACAATTAATAGATGCGTGCGTAACATCGAAACTTAATTTCATAAGCTGACCAGGCCCGATTGAAGCGAACTGAGGTAGTGTAAACATACAAACAAACTCGACTGATCGACGTTTCTCTGTCAATAGCAAAATCGTCTTATCAGTGTTAAATAGTATTTCATCAACCCAACGGTTTTTGACATTATGCATGAGCTAGTCTAAGGGACAGAAGCGTAAATATTCAGCCGTAATATCCTTGAGTCACAGATGGTCATTAACGTCTTCACTGGGAGTAGGAACTGCATTTTGATAATAAAAATAATGCCAGACGACGAAAGTAGTACAAAATCAAACACCGTTCAGAGAATTCCTGAACTATAAATCTTTAATATTTCACTGAGGATGACAGTGGATGACATCAAAACCAGATTTAAAGTTGGTGTGAAAAATATTGTATAACTTTCAATCAAAAATTAAATATATGGGGAGAGATCTTCGAGCTAATGTGTAAAAAACGCGCGCATTTATTGCGCAGACTGTCTTAACGACACGTAACGTTGTTTACTTATCTGTGAAAAATTCCTGTCACTTTTTGTGTACTTTGCATTTATTAGCGACACATATAACGCAACAAGATAGACTCATTGTCACAGACCGACAACTGTGATATGATGAGGCCAATTAATTTACATGCCGCTGTTGTTCCGCATCAAAGGAAAAAACTCCTTTTCTGGCTGACTTTAGTTCTTTCCTTCAGATGTAACTTCGCTATCACCCAAAACTATCAAGTGAAGTCCCTCTCTTCCATCTTTGGTCTTTCAAGCATGTCTGGTGCTTCTGGAGGTTATATTTTCTTCAACATCTTTGGTCCCTCTTCCAGCTCTTCATGGTCTCTCTTAATCATCTGTAATCTCTCTGCTATCGTTCTCAATCCCCCAGGTACAGATGTCTAAACTACTGATCTCTTCTCTCTCTCTCTCTCTCTAATCGCTAGTCTCATCTCTCTCATTGCCTTATCTAACCTCTCTACCTCCTGAGATTCTTTTTGCCATATTTCTTGTTTCTCTATGGGCTCGCTGACTTCCTCATCTACTTCTTCAATCATTTCTATTCATTCTATCATCTTTGATCTCATTTCTGGTCTTTTTAACACCATCGACCTCTCTACCACCCTTCGGCTTTCTTATATTTTTTTTCTCTTTTTTATTATTTTTTTAATATTTACCATTTTTGCCGTATCAGCTTTCTGAATATATTTTTATTCTCTGTTCAACTTTTTTCTCCTTATACTCTCTAATCTCCTTACTACCTTTTCGTCTATATCATCACTATTTTCCTATTGAGATTTCCTTTTTATATTCAACCGATTTCTATTGTGCAAGTAATTCGTCTTTTTAACACATCTCCTCCATTTTGTCTGCTATGTTTACCTCTTAAATTCTGCTCTCAATTTTCCAAATTTTTTTGCGACTTTAAAGCCTAATTATACAGCCACCTTTTTTTCGTTTGTCCTTTCCTATATAAACCCTTTCATTCTTTGCCATCTTATTATCCATTCTAAGTTCAATCCAGAACTTGATCTCAGAATTGTGCAATCAGTGAAAGTCAGTTGTTCTCTGAGCACTGGTCAAAACGAAACTGAGAGAGACTTAATTGAGAGAAGTTGGGTATAATTCTCTATCTCGGCTTCTTTAAAATAATTTGAGATGGTGATAATGAATTTTTTTTCTTTTCTTTTTTTTAAATTTTAAGCTCGACCATCGCCCTAAATAGCATTTAGTGTTAATGAGTGTTGCCATGGGCGTGACATACGTGACATACATCTAAATGGTAAATAGTGATAGACAACTTTTTTTTTTTCCGATTCACACTCACAGGTCACTCCGCCCACGTCATCTTGATTGTAAGGGCAGCAAATAAGATCCGTGGAACGTCATTAAAACTTGAAATCCTGAGCAGAGATAACAAAATTTTGAATGTAAGTTCAGTCCATTCAGTGGGGAAAAGTGGTGCCCATTTCTCAGCGTCTTTCTCCACTCCCACCGTCCCATTTAAATTGAAACTGCAAGGCAAGACCAAAAAGAACTTCAACTTTGAGCGCGACTCCCCAAACATCGTTCACCCAGGTCACGCCCTGCTTAGGGTTCTCTTTGCCAGACGTGAATTCACTGTACCCATTGGCGGAAAAGGATTGGTGATATTCTTTGTTTACAACACAGCTACAACCGAGTTTTTTAAGTTCCAAGTCAAAACCTCGACAGTTTTCGATTCCTCGGTTTCACGGCCTCGAGTCCGTGTCTACCAAAACCGGACTGGCTTCTTCTACACCTGGTTTACTGCAAAGTCCGGTGTCATATCTGGAACCGGTGATGACGTGGTGGTGTCCGCCACTGGGATGACGTCTAAAGTGACTGTCAGCTCCATTGTTAGCCTGATGGTGTATTAGCTGCATCGGGTGCATCATGAGTCCCGCCTCAGAAGGAAACACATCAGATATGGAAAAACGATTATGAACTTTTATTTGCTATGCTGGTTTTAAGGGGTTTTTTCGGTAGTATTCAGCTCTCTTTCGAAAGGTATTTGATGTAGAAATAAAAAAAGGTTAAACAAAACTTTTGGTAGGGTTAATGAAAATAGTTAATTAATTTTTCTAGCTAGGTAGAGTTTTTTCGATGTTCGTGTTGATCAGCTAAGGTGGAAACAATTGTAAGGGTGATTTTCACACTGATCACAATGCTTCCAGATATTTTTTACTTCTTCGGTGCCGGAAAAATCACTGAACAGCTTTGCTTTTAGAGCTATGACTTACGAGTGCCAGGTTATTGTGGAGTTCCGACATAATTTCAGTGGAAAGAGGAGAGGCTGAAGATTTTCTTCTTTGATATGTGGGTGCTATTTGCTTGGGAATAAAAACATTCAAAACCAACTTTCTTCATTTTTAGTAGTGAGCGTTACCAAGCGAGAATTGATGTTGATGCGGGTAGATTCCACTCGCCGAATCTCTCCATCCTTCAATTTTTTTCTCCTTCCTTCACTCGATTACCCCATTATCCAAAACAATTTTGTACAGTTTCTTGATCGAGGACTGCCGTCATTCACTGTGACACAACATCAACCATCAGTGCCTAACCTAATTTAAATGCTCATGAAAAACTGTCAGAGCGACAACCATTGGTGAGCGAAATCTAAAAGATGCACCCCTCTTTTCTAACAAAAAGAGGAGGGAATCCCTCAAAAACTTTACACGAAGGTAATTGTTCCCTCATATCTTCCGATTGGCTTCTCCTCCCCAGCTCGATATAAACTAGTTATGCCCTTTAGGACAGCCATCCTTCACATGTTGAATGATTTGAAGAAACTAAAGATCTTAAAAAGTAGTCCGGCTGTCTGTCCGCGCGAAAGAAAACATTTTCAGTCGCAGAATATGACTCTTAGGGGACCTAAGCCAAAAATTTTTTTGTTTTCGGTTATATCGGGATAAAAATTTTAACTATCGTAATCGCATTGGCCACAATTAAGATAAAATACATAAAAGTTTTAGAGCTTGCGGTTCACTTTTTTTTACGGCTAACGGTTAAAATTAGTAAAATTTAAGGAATTTTTTGGCCATTTTGCGGCCATCCTACGGCTAACGGTACCGGTTAGCCCCATTGAGGCCTGGTATAAATATTAACATGCTCAAAAATATGTTAGTGATTACTACTGGCAAGGTAAAGCAAGGTAGTCTTGAAGGAAATTTGAGCACTCCGATTGTTCTCTTCATTAAGAGTGAGTAAATTGGTTTCCTTTTCTTCTCTTCGAGAAAGCTGGGAAAAAATAAAAAAAATAAGTAAAAAATTTGCAGTTAAAAATAAAAAAGAACTCCACACAGATCAAATACGAAATTGACTTTCTGATGAGTTTTCGCGGTAGATGAATTACTATCTCAACACTACAGACAACAAAAGCAATAACTTGTACAAAAATACATTTAATGAGGTCCTCTATTAAGTAAAATTTCAGCCTGAAAATACATCTTCTCAAAATAGAGTACTCCAAAATCACAAATTGATTAGTGAAAGCAAATTCTATTGACGAACGACCGTCAATGCCAGGCTTTCACCCATGTGTTACCTTACAATCCGCCTAAAATCAAATTATTCCCTGCTACACCTCAGGTGTAAAAGATATAAACCTTTTGCTCTCGAAAAAACTGAAAGAACATACATGAGTTATCGTTGTTAGAAAACCATCACTTGGGGTGTACTAGGTGCTTGCGTGGTCAAAATTGTGGAAAGTATAAGCTAACTGTCACAAACATCATTTTTCAATTAGGAACTGAACTATAGCTACGTACAGTAACTACAATTTTTTATGACACACGCGTCACAAATTGCACGATGTAATTTGTAAAGCTTCCCATTGCATCACTATCGAAACGTTTATTGTAATTAAATAATCCCGTAGCTAGTTTATCTTTAATGTAGATAGCAACGTTTCCACTATCCTTCTTCCGGTGATGAGGTCCACTAAATACGTGTCACCTCGTGGACCGTTCTACTTAGCTGTGATTTGCTGGTATCTCATCGCTGTGATTAGCGCGCGCATTTCGAGGAAAGTACCCCCATGACACGGTGACAGCTGGGCGACGGTAGACTGTCATGAGAACACTTATTCAAAATGTGCCAGTAACAGCCGAGCATAACGTCTTCAAGGTGACGCGCATCCATGCTGGTAACCGTCTCTACCGAACTCACCGCTTAAATAAGACTTGCAGTATGCAGTCAAAACTTAGCGATCATCGTAAAAATATACGATACACGATAAGCACCAACAACTTAAGCGTGTGGAAAATTAAGTCCTAAGTAACGTAAAACAAGTTAACTCAACATCAGTTGAATTCTAATTTCACACTGGATGCATAGTTTCAAATAAATGACCTGTAAAAACATAAATAGGAACAACTCTTTCACATCATAAAACTATTAAATAAAGACTTACTCTGTACAAAAACCTAGCCAAAAGGGAAAAGTCGCGCTACAAGTTAGTACTGACCTAAAACTAAAATACTGTGAATTTACGAAGAGTTGAAGAACTGATTTTCTAGCTACATTCAATGAAACCCTGTCTTATGATCAACTCCTTAATATGATTTTTTTATACTTCGAATGAGGGCCCTGCCATTTTCGCGGCGTGCCAATCTGATGGAGTATAAAGGTGGAAAAACCGTGTCCAAGCAGTTTCCCACCCAGCTCAGGAGCTCCGTTGCAGACTATGTGGAACAACCTATCGTCAGTAATCTGCGTGTACGCGTAAGGAATAGTAGAACAAATCTTACTTTAAATTAATTAATCTCCTTCGTGAAGTGAACCGACTTCGACGATGGCGGGCTACATTAGACTACATTTCTCACAATAAAACATGGGAGGGTGACAGCACATTGCAACTCAACCCAATTTAAATAGAACTGAATTTCTCGTTTTCCACTATATTGGAGCCTGATCTATCGTCAGACAATAAATATCCTATCTACTTAAATGGAAGTTCATTTTTGTTTGCTAAAGAGCTTTGACAAAAAAGGCCTCAGAAGCGCCTTAAAAAAAGCTTGGATAAATGAAATATTATAAAACTCTACGGCAATTTGGAACTTAAAAATAACAGGCAAGATTCCGATTGTTTTGCTCTCAAGACCGCCTACTCTGCATGCTGAACGTGGATAACAATGCTTGAGATAAAGGTGGCATTTGATACTGTGATACAGATGCTGCACATGCACGATAAAGTATCAAATGTTTGCGGGTAGAGAGCTTCCGTTGATAACAGTTGAGGTCATGTGACTGCGAAGGCACCATGCCAACAGCGGTGAAGGTCTTTTGTCATGCAGCTTTACCTAGAGCGCGAATACAACAACACCAATCGAAAGAGTAAATCCCACAGGAACATCGTTACATCTTTAGTGACCATAATGTGAGTTAGAGAGATCTGCTTATGGGTTATACATGATATTTCGCTGTCTCTCTCGACGCTATGTCTATGGCTACCTTTTTAGCTAACAAAATCAACTTGCTTGCAGATTTTTTCGCACTCTTCGTTGGGAAAATCGCCAAAGAGGCTGCGGGCCGACCTAGACTTCCTCTGTATCCTGTTCAGTTCCGTTTAGCAGCTGGGTTTCTGACGATAACAGCACACTGTAGTGTACACTATCCGACGCCTTGTCCGTACAGTCAGACCCTTCGTAGATATTGAGGGTCTGCAAACACAAAGGAAATTAACCAATAAACACAGATTTAAAAATGGGTTTGATAATTTCACTAGCATCTGTAAAATAAACTATTGTGTACTTCAGAACACAAGAATTCTTCATTTTATGTATGCAAGCATTGATTGACTACCAGACTCATGGACTAATTGCTTGATTGAGTGAATGAAGGATTGACCGACAGATTGACCTATTTACTTACTACCTAAGTGACTGAATAAACGAGTAATTAATTGGTTGACTGATTGATTGACTAGCCAGCTCACTGACTGATTGATCGACTAATTGATTGATTGACAGACTGGTTGGTTGATTGACTTATTAACTGGTAATTGGTTGATGAATTGACTTATTCATCGATTGATGGAGTGACACCAACCGCCTGATAATTTTACCATTTGATTGTTGAATGGCTGAGGCATTAGCTAAGTGTTGTGTAAGATATCCTGGTGAGACCTACCAAGGGTCCTACTCTATCCCGTAGCTGTAACTTCCCGTGCCTGAAAAAAATTAAAAAATTACCCAAAACCATCACAAGATCTAAAATAATAAATACAATATTAGTAGCATTTAAAATAACAGTAATGATTTTGATTATGATAATGATGATTATGATAATGTAACGCGATTGAGATCTTGTGTATTTACTGCCAACATGTAGTACTAAATAGTGATGGAAATTTTGTGACATTTCCACAAAGAAAGCAAGAAAGTTTAAGAGTTTTAAATTTTAAAAAAATCATATGTTCACTGAGCAGGTTAGGGAATTAATTAAGAAACACAATTCCTTAACAGTCTGCTTGCAGCCATTGACACTCGAGTCAGATTGTCAGAGGCATAATAAAAGGAATTACTGGTATTTACAAGTTAAAAAAGTGGGTAAGTTTCTACAAAAATTTGGTGCTTCATGAATGGGGGATATTACAGGATAATTCAATTCTATTAACTGAGTTGATCAATGTAACTTGGCCATTGTAGAGAGTTTCTAAAGCCAATGATTTGAGTGTTAGTTAATTTCATGATCAACTCAGTTGATAAAGGCAAATTATCTTAGTTATTTACTCAGCAGCGAACTCCCTAAGCACTTAGTAATAACCAAGCCAGGGTTAAATCCTTGAGGTAGACTTCCTAGGTCTTATGAGAGTGACAGCATGAAAAACAAATGAGAACTCCATAAGAGGGGCTACATTGGTGTTTCACAAAAGATAACAGGTTGACTATTACTTTGACCCTTTCAACCCCAACATCTGTTTGCATATTCTCCATACTGTTCCCTATACATTTCCTAAGGGGTCCACAAGGAGAATTTGTTCAAAAAAATCAAGAGCTTCTTTTGGCTGGTGATCATTTTCCTTATTCTCGTAACCTTAATGTGTAATTCAGGGTTGATATTGTAAGGTGAAATTAGATGCTGGTCACTCTTAGGGGTTACAGGGTTCACAACGTAAAGAGTTTCAAAGCTAACAAGGTCTAACGCTCCAAACATCAGCTTTGATACTCTTTATGGTCGTCAATTTACATTTAATAACACAGTTGATAAAACCAAAATTATCTTGCTATACTCTCCCACCAATACAGCACCACATTTTCTTTAGAAACTCACCCCCTATCACTTTAACAGAAGGACTTCTAATATATTTCTGAGCCTCTTTCACATACCAAATTAACCAATGCCATCAAGGGAAGCAACAATAGTTAAAGTCACATAATATTATTAATATTGTGTCATTCAGTGCTCAGAGCCAACGCAAGCAATGATGACAAAGTATATAGATGGAATATTCATTGCTTGTTTCATGCATGTAATTTAATTAACACTTTAACTTCCAAAAGTGATTAAAAGCTACCTTCACCCTACAAATCCATACATTATCTAGCAAACATTAGTATGATGGGAATAATTTTAAAATCATCAGGTAGGTTCAAAGTTTTTTTCTTTTGATCTTGATGTAGCAGCTAGTGGGGGAGAATTAACAATCAGATCTTGGAGGTTGAAGAGTTGATAGGCATTTTTTTGGGTAAGTGACCCATGGTCATGACACTACTTCCACTGCAAAATCCCATGTAGCGAAAATATTGGCACAAAAACATACCTGTTGCTTTTCCTCTTTGCAGTCCTTACTATAACAACTACAGCAACAAAACTGCAAATTGAGACGACACCAACTGTTGCCCACAAGGTCACAGTGTAGTCACTATTGTCTTCATTCTTATTAAGTGCTTTTGTGGTTGGATTTTCTAGATTTAAACACATCATACACAAGCTGACCAAAGAAAATCTTTTACAAGCTTTAAGTTGAAATCAATGCACCTAACAGTATTGACTTGCCATTGACCTTAACATAAATTCTCAAAGATCTTGGTTGGTAGAGCACTTTTACTCGTTAATTTATCCAGCATTTAAATTACTTCAAGTCTAAAATACATCAGAATATCAGAGAAACAATTAAGTCCAATAAAGTCTAAATTCAACCTAAGGCTGATTAAGGTAAATAGATTAACCATATATAATCAATGATTAAATGAATTTAGAAAAAAGGAAATGCACACACAACTTTAATTAGCCAATAACAGCATTCCCAGAAAAAGAGCCTAATTCATGAAAACACCAAAAGTCTTAAAGAAACTCCTTGGTTCCTCAAAATACCAGTTAATGTCTCTCAATTGATGACACTATAATTGTCACTACAAGTTCACTATAAATTCATAAAGCCCTACTCAATTAATGTAAAAATTGAAAATGATTCTTTTCTCCACCAAGGGGCTACTAAATAAATGTGAGAAGACTCACAACACCATTTTTTTTGCACTTATAAGACATTTACCCCTCACAATCACATAGTAATCATAGAATTGTGACTCATCTATGGAGATGCTGTCAGGAGGAGATTACATGTATCTTAAATATACTCCAGGTTGACTATATAATACTGAATATGCCATTACCTGATGGAAGTCCCAGCAATTCACAAGAATCACAGCTTAGTGCTGCCATTGCACTTGGGCCACAACCCCCATTTGAACAAAACTGCACCTCATATGAGTATTTCACTTTGCTGTTCAGCTTACCCACAGAATATCTCAGTAATGACCCATTGTAATTAGGCTCAAGGGAAAAATGGACTGTTATTATAGGACTCCCAGTAAGGGACTTTGTTTGGTGCATGTGTTCTATGCTTTGGGATGAAGAATTCCTTCTGTATATCCTGATAACAGACTTCTTAGGGATTCCATTCCATATTAGCAAGTTGTTTGCCTATCAAAGGGATTAAGATAAAAGAAAGAAATAAATCATATATTCATTGCATGTGCTTGCATGGAAATCAGTCTTTTGACATGAACTGTTTCAAGAAGTAAAAGTATTCAGCTGAGCCAATAACAGCTCATGAACATTTACTGTTCAAGAAGAAAATACAAATGCAAGAACATCAAGTAAAAATGATACTAATAAATTGCTGTTGCCATCATCCTTTAAAAATCTTTGGTGGCACTGTATGAACAAATTGTTTACCAACATCAAAAATGGATGTTGAGTTTTACAGAGCAACTGATTGAGCAAACAAGTCATTCTCTTAATTCTCCTGTGGCAATGTCAGCAAATATCATTCTAACTTGAGTCAACTTTTAGAGGAGGACTTACATTACAATCAAGCTGGACACAAGGTCTGAAAATTGGGTAATATCACCTTTTATTTCCCCTTTTTATTACTTGGGCTGTAATATAATTATGTAGTCAGTGACATGATGCTATGAAACCAACTGCATGAGTGAAAATGTTTGGTGGGTACTACATAAATATTACATCCTACATGGACTGCAAATGGAGGTATTTGTAGATATTTTGGGTCTTAATCTGTGCTGCCAGCTGCCAAAAATTTTTTCAATAAGAGTAAATCATTCTAAATAATAAATAATCAATACTGTCATTGAGAGTAGTTAAGATTCCTCCAGGAATATTTCTAAGTGTTTCCAGTGATCTGATTGTAGTAATGTTAATTTTTACCTTCCATTTTAGAGTGACAGTAAAGTTTGTCTCACTGCATTGTGCCTCGCAAGGCCGTATATCTGGACGTTCAGTTGGTTCTAGGAGATGAAGAATACTGCTAGTAAATCAAATATGTCCTCTAAACCTGATCATACTTTCATCATTTATATTCAACATTAACATCACCATCATCATTAATTTTTAGAAAGAACCATATCTGAGTATCACTGATTATCAATATCATAATTATTTTTGACCATTATCACTATATCCAAATCAGTGTGCATAGAAATACACAGCCATACTTCTGGCTAAGGATGCCCTGCACCATTTTTATAGCACAGTAAATACCCTCTTTTAACCCTTTTAAGTCCCACTAGTGACCAAGATAGAATTTCTCCTTACACTATCAACACAATATCAAGAAGGCAAGTGATGAGAATAAAGAAAAATATCAAATGAATTAGGGGATTATTGATTGATCCAATTCCAAATTCTCCAAACTAACATCATATGAATTGTATGACAGACAGTAAGGAGAATTACTAATGAGATCTTGGGAGTGAAAGGGTTAAGAACCAAATATGCACCAAACTGTTAGGCTTAAATTTCCCAGATAAGCAGCCTTCCCATAAGAGTCATTCTAGGCTAAAATCTCAATATAGGTTCTTATTTTTGGAATATGGAGTTTTTTCAAATATAATTTACAATAAGCAGTACATTACATACCACTGGTATTCAAAATGGGTAACAGAAATTAGCCAGGACACTGGAAGTGTTATATAAGACCACTGACAATAGTGTTCAGTCAATATAGATCCACAGATGTGCAACATATCTAACTGTGTGTATATTAGTTAACCAATCATGCAAAGCAGGACACTTAAAGTCTGGCAGACAGCATGTACAATACCACACCCACACCTGATCAAGAACCTAAGGTAGCCTTAAATTTCATAGCAACCATTTACATGTACTAGGTTCTCAGGTTTTTACTGTGTACTCCTGTTTTCACTGTACTCCTGTTCTTAGTATCTCAGATTAGCGCTGTTTGCATACCCTGGCTGAGTCCTCACCAAGCAGACCTTAATTATCACTATTAATAATAATAATACAGTTTAGGATATTTAATAATAGTTTTCTTTCGGCCAAGGAGTAGAAAACTTTGTCTGAAGGTGAACTTTGTAATTTGAAATTAATTTCAAAAATAGCATACAATTACTCTTATTTATAAGGTTATTTGCCTTCAATTTCAACTGATAATTAATTTGAAATAACATCACAACAGCAACTAAGGATAATTTTTACCAGTTCTATTAATAAATTTCCTAAAATAAAATGTACCTATGACACAGACAACGTATATTTTACCTTCAGGTAATGTTTGGTTGAAGACTGGCCCTTCAGGTTGATGCTGGTAATCACCGCAGGTGCAAGTTGTCTTGTTTACATTTATTGTCTTCATGGAAGGACATACAATGACTGAATAGCTGGACCATGGCATTAGATTAGTAAAGCTAAATGCATTTTTTGTCTTATTGCCTTGAACATTGTCCATCACTTCCTGCTTGAAAAAAATAACAATGAAATAAATAGGCAAATAACTAACTCTTGAGTATGTAAAAGGACACATTTCACTCAAAAAGCTACATACTTTTGCCCTGTGAAAAGTTAATAGTAATCATCCTGGGGTGTAAGTGCAGGGAGATCCCAGAGGGCCATCATGGGGTGTAAGAGTTACATGTCTGTATGTAAAAGTTGATCTGGTCTTGTAACATGGATGTAAACAATCAAACTATTGTTAAGACATGTTTGTAAGCTTGTAAAAAACATTGGAGAAGAATGAAGTCAGGTGAAAAGTTATTGCCTGTTCATTGTATGAAATATCAAATGAAAAAAGGGAAAGGCACATGCCTGATATTGCAGATAATAGACCCATTCACTTTTACAAACTTAAAGCTTACAAGGACTTAATCTGTTAATCCTTTCACTCCAAAGATCCAATTAGTAATTCTCCTTAATAATGTATGCCGTAAAATTCTTATCATGCTAGTTTGGAGGATTTGAGATTGGATCAACTAAGAATCTTCTAATTGATGTTCCTCTTTAAGTCTCCTTTAACTTTTCTGCTTCATATAATATTGTGTTTATGTTGTAAGGAGAAATTCTGTCTTGGTCACTCATTGGAGTTAAAGGGTATTAGGCAGGTATCACTGGCATTCATCTTAAATTGCTGAAAGCAAGTCTGATAATGTACCTCCACCTTCCCTTGGCATTTCCCCAAGTGGTCACGAAGAATCACGTTATAGGTGAGTGATTCACTATGTATTCCTTCTGGCCTTTCCCAGAGAACTGTTAGTTTCCTCCGTGAGACTGGAAGAAGTTGTAGACTCCTAACTGGAGGGATAACTACTACAAATTGAAGGGAGAACAAAACAATTAAGTAATATGCGAGAAGATCATGTAGCGTATTGTTCAATCCGTTCAGTATCACATTGACACTAATATGATAGTATTTTACCATGAAGCCAGGTTGTGATTATTGTGATTTATAACAAATGTATAATAAACGGTTTGATCATTTGTCTCAGGATGTGGTCAGTTCAGATGTAGATCACAACATTTCAACTGCTTTCTGCTAGTCTTCATCGGGCGATGGGGTCAACTGCTCACGCGTTACCATTTGTATCACAGCATTCTAATGCGATATAAGATTTCGATTTTGTTCCAGTGAGTTCTGGTTTTTGAAGAGGTCTGCAGACTCCAAGTTATTCCCTTGGCAGTTTGCTGTTGTAGCAGTCTCCTGTTGTTTCTTGATCATTGGTATCCATGCATATTCAGGAATTTTGATTCCATTATCCCTGTTGATGTTATCTGAGTGGAGTCTCCTCTCATGTACTTTTGGATCTTTCTTAAGGAGCTTGTATGGTCCAGTCCCAATCAGCACTGACATCTTAGCTAACCTAACATCTCCAAGGAAAAGAAACATTAAATTTTGTCATCAATTCTAATTTCCAATGGTTATCCCTTCTCCTTTGTACAGAAGGTTACAAAAACAAGAAACTCTTCCCCATGCAGAGAGCCTGTGATGCAGTTCAAGTCCACAGCGGTTTTGCCCTACGTAAAAGGTGTATCAGAGCCCTTTGGACATAATGCCTGCAACAACAAGGCATCCCCACAGTATTCAAGCCCCACACGACACTTAGATCAAATTTGGTAAGACCAGAGGACAGTGTCAATCCAGCTAGACAGGACAGCGTGGTTTACAGAATTTTCGGTGAATGCAGCAATTAATCTACATTAGTGAAATGGGAAGACCTATGCAAGAGAGGATGAAAGAACTTGAGAGAGATATATGTTTAATCTGTACCCAGACCTCTGCCATTTCTGAGAATGCTAACATGACTGGCCTCCACCTGCTTTGGAACAAAGTAAAGTTTATTGATTGAGATTCACAATGGTACACCAGAAGAGTCAAGGTAGCTATCCACAGAAGACTTCACCCTGATAACATCAACAGGGATAATGGAATCAAAATTCCTGAAGCATGGATACCAACAATCAAGAAACACAACAGGAGACTGGTACAACATTAAACCAGCAAGAAAACAACTTAGAGTCAGACCTCTTGGAAAACCAGAACTCACTGGAACATTGGGGATTAAAATCTGTCAATCACATCAGATCGCCATGATGTAAATAGTAATGCATGAGTATCCAACTCCATTGCTTGATGAAGACCACCAGTAAGCAGTCAAAAGGTCGCAATCTTCATCACAAGTGATTACATCATGAGACAAACAATGAAACAGTTTATTATTGCTTACCACCACAATGAGCAATAGACTCGTTTACAGCATATTGAATTTCAAGTTTGAATCAAGAGTCCAGCATGCTGAACATTGGCAGGGGCACCTCCCTCCCTCCCACAGGGGAATAATTTAACCTTTTAACTCCCAAGATCCACTTAATAATTCTCCCTTCTTACTGCTACACCTTTCCTTGTAAATTAGACATGAAAATATGCAGGTCTCATTCTAAAAAACCCGTTTACAAGATAACTGATTGGAATTGCAAGGAGAAGTTTCATTTAAATCACTTCTGTTAAAGAGTTAAGACGTTTCAGTTGCCTTATCATATGAATGTTCAACAAAGAGGGCTAATTTAACATTTTTAAGAATTCTTCACATTAAAAACAGAATTCAATATAGCAGAAAAAAGCATTCCAATAGGCCATTTTACAGTTGTGTACTTAGTTGCCAAGCCTTTGATTTGGAGTGAGGCTGAAGGTGACCTTGTTGTGTTAGAGACCAGAATCTAGTTAGCATGATAACAAATTAATTTGCATTTCAAAAGCAGCAAGGTTTGTATCATAACAAGGTCACCCTTAGCCTCACTCCTGTTCAAAGGCCTGGCAATCAAGCATACAACTGTAAAATGGACTATTGTAATTATACACTGGGTGTGCATGCATTAATTTTAAACTACGAAGCTGACTGTTTAAATTTAAAGAAACCTTGAATATTAGCACCTGGGTACTCATTTAAAATTTTTCTGCTGAACAGGAAGGAAGGTGCTTAATCAAAGGGGGCACTTGTAAGGAAATTACTATCCTGTACTGATTTGGGCGAAGTCAATCTTAATAGGTTAGAAATATATTAAAGAGGTTTTCCATGTACTGCTACTATTTCAGTTAAGAAAAGGAGGAAATAGAGGGGGATGGGGGGGCACTAATTTGGTGTCATGACCTAGGAGGTGGATGCTTCTTCTAGGGAGTGCACTTATTAGAGCTGAGTGCTTATTTGAGGAAATACAGTATATCAGGTAAAGAACAGAAAAGAAAATCAGTGTACTTACGAATATCAAGATAGCTCCTGCAAAAACAAGAAGGACAAACAGAGCCATTTAGAGTGGTCACCTTGAAATATACACAGACCGTTTTCTTTTTTGAAAACCACTTAAAAAATTCACACATTTGCGAGTTGTTACAAACAGTGCAGTTAAGAACTTTGTCAGTCAATGAACGTGAATCATCTTCATTATGAAGGCATCTGCCACCTTGAATAAGACCTGTCATATTTGAAGAACATTTCCCACTGGGATTAAATGAATCATCTGGACAGCATTCTCCAAGAAACAAATCTGCAAAGCTGACTATTTCATCCATGTCTATGGTTTTTACAGAAGCTGTAACACAAGTAGCATTTGGCCAACCAAAAGCATAAAGCACTGGTTTCTCAGGTCTTGGTATTGTGAAATTTCCTGAAAAGTCAGGTCATAAAAAATTAGTCATTAGGGATGACTGTATAGATCATGGTGTGATTTTTTAAGTAAGATTGTACATTAATTGCCATTAATTTAAGGACCTCATCAAAAAGGAAGCATTCTGCCGATTCGTGGTGTTTGTCTTGCATTCTTATATCGCAGCACTATACTTAAAATATATGTATAGTTTTACCCATACAACAAACAATTGGCTTCCTTTTAGGGGGCTCAGTGAGGAATGTGAAGGAGTTTAAAGGAGTAGAATGAAGACTTTCCACATCAAAGAACTTGAAGTAAAAATGCTTATCTACACACACACACACATATATATATGTATGTATGTATACACACACACACACACACATACATATACATTGGATCAATAATAAGAAAATACTCTATCAGCCAATTGAAATTTACTTTTGGGCTTAAATAGTCACAATTGCCTTTTGTAGAAGAGTTATTGACCAAAGATTTATGAACATTACGAATTTCAAATATAATTATTTTCATAAGGGGGCATTTTTAAAACTTGACTGTCATAAAAGCAAAACACTGATTGATAGCAATCAAAACAGCCAATCAAAGCAACAAGGAAAATCACATCATAGTGAACTGATAATCAAGGGTTTAATCAGGTAAAATAAGACATAAACAACAAGAAAACAAGAATAGTGCTCATAGCTTGGGAAAACTGACTGTTGATATATGCATGATTGCATGGTTTAAGTTTTGAATCTGCTTGGTTAAGAAAGTACTTTGATACCATTTTTTGGAAAAATTGTATATGTTAAGGGGTATGAAGGCATAAACCAAAGCAATCCCAGATTACTTTTGACATGTATATGAAAATTGCTCCGACTACCTTTGTGATTCCAGAAGATCATCTTGACGATTTTTGTCTAGTTCACAGAAGCTTAAATGGGAACAGTTAACGTAGGAATTTACAAGCAGACCCACCCAAGATGCATCAGTTTATTCATATTGCAGTCAATTCTCATGATGCTTGGCTTTTTTTTCTCAAATGCTGCCTATTATTAATGAGTAATTCATTTACTGGTAATTGTGAAGAAGAGCTCCCCAAAAAACCTGTTGGCCGACTGTTGGTCAACTGTCGGCCAACAATGCTGTCGGTAGACTGTCGGTAACCTGTCGGTCAACTGTCGGCCGACAGTTGACTGACAGTCAGCCGACAGGTTTTTTGGGGAGCTCTTCTTCACAATTACCCATTTACTAGCCTGATCTTGATGTAAGGGGGCAGTGCATGTAGAGACAAACAGATGTGAAGGTCTTAGCTTTGTTTAATTCATGGTGTTACGCCAGACTTGACACAAAGAGCGTGTAGGAATGCAATAGGGTAAAATTTCCGCACAGCCCCATACTACATTATGCATTCAATTCTTGGATTGAGAAAACAATGACAAAAACAATACATTGCCATTGGGAAACCAGATTTGTTTCACAACAGTATGGGGCTATGCGGAAATTTTACCATTGTAAATGTATATTATGATGGAAGATATAATGCGGGCTCGTTCAAAAAATGCACATGCCGAACAAGATTCACCACTGTCCCTAAAATAATGACTCCTTCAAACTGCGACGTATCAAAACCATTTCATATATACTATTAATTGCAAATTGTGTTTTGTTCAGTGTTGTTCCAAAGCGCCATTTGCCTTTTTTTTTCGAAATTACCGTTGAGTAATTTAACCAATGCACTAAAAACTACAAAACTAAAATCACCTTGAATCGAAATGACTTCCATACTCGAAGGAATTCAGCTTCAGTATCCATCGACCGAAATCGAAACTCCACACTCAGGTGCATATGTTATGTGTTTCGAAACTAGTTAGTACGGATAATACGTTAACAACCATGGAAACACCGAAAGGTTTATTTCCACTAACACTACAATGACACTTGCCGCGTATATCTAACGTAAGAAAAAACACGCAATTTCAAGAGAACTGACCTTTCGACTACGACTGAAATTTAAGTACGGTAATTTGATAACATTCACAATGCGATCTCGTGGTACTGTCGAGAAGTCACGAGCTTACCCTAGCAGTACATGCATGGTGTATCAATGAACTTTCTTAGTACACTGACAGCATCTAAGACTTACCTGGAACACACTTTACGAAAAGTATAAAAGTTACCAAATGAGTAGTTCCAAGGAAGGCAGACATGCCAGTGTTTCTTCTGAAAACGGCTAAAAACGCCGATCTTGTACATTCACCTTCTTGGAAGACCGGAAGTTTTGGTTTTCTAAGAATTTTCGTCACTCCGATTGGTTCTTGTGTCGTACAAACATGGCGGCGAAAATTCAATGGAAGCAGAGTATGTTGTGAGCATGATATGCTAATGAGAGTCCTGACAAGCCTTTTTTTGTGCTTACTTATTGGAGCAATTCGAAATGTAAATTGTTTAGAGACAAAGGAGGGAGGTAAGTTTGCTGTGTTTGTTTGGAACTAGCGTCTCTAATCACGCACACGGAAGCGGTCGAACTTTATACGATGCCTTCGGAGTCTAATCAAATGAACAGCCCAGTTGATGTGCAATTTCCCTTAATCATCGACTTAATTGCCCCAGGGAAATGAATGACCAGTCATTTGCAGTCGTACAAAATTCTACCGTCAGAAAAAAATAAACGCTAACGTCTGCATGTTTATTAGATCCATTTCATCTCAACTTTAATGAGGTAAATTGTTAGCTTTGGTATAGAAAAGCGATTTTCATTCGCATGCCGATACATGTTAATTGATCTTACTTTCATTTTCTTAATGTGTGTAATTCCCAACTCGTACAGTCGATTTTACTATAGTTATGTTTGAAAACGCATTATTTTCGTCTTCCGAATCATTCGTAAATCATGCGATCGTACAATAGTCCAATGTCGCCAGTTGGGCATGTGAGCATATTTTAATTGTGTCAGCGAAAAGATTAACTTTTTGCTGTTATACCTTCAGATAAATTAGTTACCATTTTTGAGCTCTTATGCGGCTTTGGTAGATAAGATCACTTTGATTGCATCTTTTTCGAAGGGAAAATACATCATAGTAAAATTGACATGTGAAGACTGCAGGATTGTATCAACAATGTTATTTAATTAATAATTTAAAATCATAATTACGTACTAGCTTTTTCAGACGGGATCAGTGGACGTTTCGTTGGTCTAGAAACAATATGATCCTCAGCTGGGAGCAAATGTCAGAACTCACCTAATAAAACAAGGAGAGATAAATAACTGAATGTCACATTGAGTCCTAAAGGAAGTTTTGGCATAATAACCATGTGTTATCAATAAATTTCATTTCACAGATGTAACACATAGTTCTTTGATTCAGCTCATCTTGATCTATGGTATTTTTATAAAATTAGTAATTGCGCTGTATCAAAGTTCCACAGTTTGACTAGAAAGTGATTCATTTTAGCTTAATTAGTGAAAGCGCAGGGTCCAATGTCTTGCACGTGGCATACTTTTGCATTTGTTTCAGATGAACTCCCCTTTCAGTTGAAAGATTTCCAAGATGTAATTTACACTGCCAACAGTTACGCTCTTGAGCTGAATTGTACTGTCAATTGGACACTCAAGAAGACTACATCGAAACACTTTTTCGCATGGAAACATAACAATACATTGATACCAAGCTGTTTCACCCGCACGATTGATAACAGCACTTTACAACTGAGGAAAAATCACACCCAGTACGCAGACACTGGAGTTTATATTTGTGGAGTGTTCAGTAATTCTTCAAAGCTTCCTATTATTACGTTTCATCAAGTTAGAGTCATAATAGGAGGTATGTACTATAAAATATGAATTTGTACTGTACAACTATACTTGACTTTACAATTATATTTATTTAATGAGACTGAATGCTCACAACCATTGTACTATAACTCATGACACTTCATACTAGTCTTGCAACCCCAATAGATTAATATACGCACATGGGTTACATGGTAAAAATTGACAGGACTTTGATAAAAGTATTTTATTTGCCCTTTGGTTACAAATTGTCAAATGACATTCACTTTGGTACTAGCTGATTACAAATTTGAATGGTATGATTGGTCATAATGTGGCAGTAAAGGGCTGTAAAAGATTTTTTATGAAGTATAAATTGAATTTACTGGCAGTAACATAAAACTTTTAATTTTTGGTTTTTCTACTTTTAGTTCTTTTCAGTTAGAGCTTATAATAACAAAGAGATTTATAATTTAGGTCTATACTTAATTTATTTAGTTTTAAGTCATTTTTAACCCTGCACAACCTAACATCAGGGTGCATTTTTTCCATAATGTTCTATACACATCCTAAGGTACTGACAAGAAGAATTAATTGAAAAATCAGGAGCTTCTTTAGTTGGTGATCATTAAATGTATTTTTTCTAATTATTCTTGTGACCTTAACCCTTTCACTCCCACAAGTGACCAAGACAGAATTTCTCCTTACAATATCAATACAATGTCAAGCAGGTAGGTGATGAGAATAGAGAAGAATATCAATTATGGGATTATTAGTTGATGTAATACCAAATTCTCTGAACGAACATCATAAGAATTGTATGGCAGATAGTAAGGAGAATTACTAATTAGATCTCGGGAGTAAAAGGGTCAATGCTTGATTCAGGGCTGATATTGTAGGGAGAAATTAGATGCTAGTCTGTCATAGAAGTTAAAGGGTTGATATGTTATAATCCTTACAGTGAAACCAAAAGAGATCACCCAAAAATTGGTGAAGCTTGTGGATGTTTATGGACTCCCAGTGCCGCAAGTGTTGAGTGTACAATGGAGTGCTCAGGAAGTAAATGTGACTTATGAACTTTTTGTCAGTATGCACTATGATATTACTACTTGGAGCTGTGTGTTTGACAGTCAAGCATATTGTAAGCAAATACCTAGGTATCTCAATGAAACATTATCATGTCAAGTGGGAGAGGACGTTATAGAGAATTTTGATGTTCCTTGCAAGAATACAGGAATCAGGTGTGACATTTTCTGTGCCAAAGTAATCGCTAAAAATCAGTTTGGAACAGTAGAAACTACACATCCCAAGCACTGGAATTTAAAACATCATGGTGAGTTTTGTTTGAAATTATCTATTTTTAAATCAGCTGTGGTATGAAACATTATCACAGCACAAGAGATTAATAGTTCTTTAAATCAATGTTGATTAATAAAGAAGATACCCACAATAAAGTGATACAAGTATGATGATGAAATGCTTTTATTGCGATTTTCTTAACCAAAGAGATGTGTCCCCCTCTGGAGAATGTGAAAGCTGTGTCAACAAGGGACTCTTTTACACTAACATGGGATCACCCACGCCTGGTGAAGAGCAAAGTTCCTTTGGATTACCACATCACTTACAATTTCACTCGGATACTAACAGGCCAGGTATTTAGCATTGTATACAATTCTAAAATTTACAGGAGATTTTCATAGGTCATTAAGTCCTTCAGGAGAATTATGGTTAAAGATTATTGAACTATATTGTAATGTAAAGAATAGCCTCTACTTGGTTTGGAATTATACATTTACAATATCCTCCATTTGGCACAAAAATATTCACGGATATTTGTCTGTGGACATAATCTGTTCCAAGATGCTAACTTTTTTCTGTGAATGAAGCTTGAGGAAAACTCAGTGAGCTTTGAGGAACAGACAATTTCCAAGGACTAATATA